TGTTGCAGTACAAGAACAGGTCTGAATGACCTACTTAGTAGGGCTGATAGCTAACCAGTCAAGGAGATCAATAGGGTAGCCGAACAGTCAATTAATAAGATTAATGTTGAGCAGACAATTAGTCGGCTAGAACAGACCATCAACAGTCCACAATACCAACAAAAAAAGGTTCGAATACAGTTACTGTGTTAAGGAATACAGTCGCTTAACAGTAGGGCAACCGAACAATTCATCAGTCGAACAGACAACAGTAGGGTAGCCGAACAATCATCAAACAGTTCAGCAAACAATAGGCATCCAAACAGACAAGGATGATAGTACCTCTTTTAGTTTCAGATGATAATCTCCCTTATGGTAAACCAGAACTCCTTGACTGTAAACCAGAGCTCCTTCTACGAATCCTCAAACAATAGGCAGCCAAACAGAAGATGAGCAATACTTCTTTTAGTTTCAGATGCAAGCCTTTCTGAAGACAAAACACCCTCTACGAACTGCAAACAATAGTCTCTCTACAGTCGAGCAGACAGGAGGAGCAATTTCTGGGCTGGAAGACGAAAAGACTGTAACTTCTGGGTCGAACTGACTTCACCAGAACGGGAGTTCGATTGGAGACAGCACTGGATGCAACAGTAGTTAGCTTGACACCACCCTTCAGGCCTGGACGACTTGCTCTGATACCATGTTGAGTAAGAGCAAGTGAAGAGAGGAGAGGAGARGAGAGAAGAGAGGTGAGTCGAGTGACTAAAAGCCCTCCGGAACATAGGGGGCGAAAGAATGATTTTATTATTTATACTAGTACAGTCGAACAATATAAACATAGGAGAAATTACAACAGTACCCTTATGGTACTTGTTTGCTGAAATAAAGCTGTCGAATGAGAGAAGAAGAAAACAGCCGAACTAATGTTACATAAGAACATTACATAATGTTACATAAATAGACCAGAATGCCCCTGATTAGTGATGGGACACCTAGTCAAAATAAACACTAAATAAGATTAGGCCCAGTAACTAAGGCCCAATAACTAATGACTTAAGACCCAACAAAGATAAACATACAAATTAAGACAGCCGAACCAACAGTACTAAACCTGAATACATAAACAACTATCAACACTTACCTCAACTTCAGTTTTCACCACTTGCTCCAAATCAATTGATCTTTCGATCACATGAGTTTCGTGAATAACTGTGTCTTCCTTATCTTCCTATGAATTAAGAGGAATCAATTTACCTAAACAATTTTTATGTACCTTCCCATTTGGACAAGGTTTTTGAGAGTAATACAGCATGCCTTTATTGCTACTCAAAAACAAGGTTCAAAATACTGAATTCAAACAAAATATCGGTTATTAATAGGAAACATGCTAAAAATATTTAGAACCTAGAAGTTTCATGTTGACATATTGGACTTACACTTAATATTTACTGACATAAATGTCATAAGAAGCATTCTAATATAAGTTTAGATTATCATACTACAAGTTACAATATGGAGTATAGAACAAAAGGTAAATATTAGTGCTTGTTATTCATGACCTAGGTATCAAAAGTATATATGCAGGATATGTAGTAGATAGCTTCATGATTGTTGGGCTCTTTGTATTTTCAATGTATGGCTATTAGTCAAACTTTTTGAACAATACAACAATATGTCACCTTGTTTTACTTCATTTAATATGAATAAGCCTTTTGTGACATCAGATCCATTTTCTTCTCTAAGAACCTAAAGATTGAATCATGGTCAATTGAATCAATGCAAGCCTTTTTTTTTCTATTTTCATTATGAGGTTCTCTGGGGAGTGGGAATTGATGTTGCCCAATCCAAGGTGTCCTGAACCGAGGTCGCAGTCAGACAATCCTGCCAACTGGCAAAGCCGAGGTGGAAGGACGAAGTCGCGCAGCAAGATCTGAAACCAAGAAAAAGGTCAAAGGCTCGAGGAGTTGTTCCCTGGTTAGGCACTTCAATGCACAAGTCATTCGAGTGGTAAGGGAGATGGCCGTGCCGAGCAAATGAGAATAATGCTGGTCTGAGCCAAAGAAGTAGTATGGAAGTCTAAAGAGTCAAAAATCCCTTACCTTGAGTGGAGGTTACCTATTTATAGCTGAAGATTCGTGTTCGATTCAGATGAGGCTTCCAGGGTTGTCAGGATGAGGTTGTTCGCCGAGGTCTTCGGGATAAGTCCTCTTCTCTGATGGAGTTGTCTTCCTTATCAATACATGGCCCTTCTTCTTGGTTGCGCTTATCCGTCCTTCGTGGTGTCGACGTGGTTGGGGAGATAAGATGGCCAAAAAGGCTGCCACATGGCGCCCAGGGACAGCTCAACCATAACCCAAACATCACTCCCCCAGTTCCGAAGTTGAGTGTAGTTCTCGGCCGCGGTTTGGCGTGGAAGAGCTCTGCGGTTTTCGGTTAAGGAACTTGAACTTCGGTTGAGCACGCTTTTCGAGTTGAGTGACCCGGGGTGAAGTCGGTTTGTTGGCTGAACTGACTGGTTCGATGTCCATGCTGTTTCCGAGACGGGTCAGTAGGTGTGCCATTTCGTTTCCCCGAGGCTACGTGTGTGTGGAGAGCGGAGGCATTGTTTCGTCTTCCCGAGCTGTTAGAGGGTGGCATTGAATTGACGCCGATCTGGGCCGTTGGGAGTCCTATAAAAGGGGAGTGAAGAGCATTTTCACTTTGTCATTTGCGAAGAGTGTTCTTTGGAGCTCGAAGAGAAGTAGTCCTCGATTGGTGCTTTGGTTTTCCACAATCCTAGTCTTCACTTTGGTAAGATGTCTTCTTCCTCGTCCTCTGATTCTTCCTGTTCATCTTCTTCTTTTGGATCCAGTAGTGAGTCCAAGCAAGGGTCTCTTATCGAGGCTACTGCGTTCATGGTCCATGAGGCTGATGGCCAGGGGGCCAAGGTCGATGGATTTGAGGGTGAGGCCATGGTCTGGGGGGCCGAGGCCGATGAAGTCGAGGTCGAGGTAATGTCTGAGGAGGGGCCCAATGTCCCTTCGCGTCTCGACAGCCGTTTTGGGTGGCAACGAAGGCCTTGCACACAAGTCCTTCGGAAGAGCCATGCAGCATCATCACGACTTTGAACCCTTTGACATGGTAGTTGGGGATTGAAGCTCCGTCATACTTCTCGAACTACGGAGGCCACCAGCCAGCCGACGAGAGTTCGTCCATGATTTCTTGAGCGAAGACTGACTCTTTCGCGAGTTGGCCGCAATGTTCTGCGGGCTAGGTCATTGGAGGAGCCATGCTTTTGTCAGCTTGGCTACGTTCCAGTTTGGCTAGGCATTCCTTCAGTTATTTGATTTCGACATCTCTATTGGCTGGGGCCGCGCCTGCAGACTTCTCTCCTTTTGGTATTGCAAGTCGGCCTCTGATTGAGCTGGATTTGGCGATCAAGATCGGCTGCTATGGTCGTCGGGTGGAATGGTGCGATTTGCTGAGGTCGTCAGGTGCGCGGGACCGGGCTGGAGAGTCTGGTCTTCTTGATGATTGTTGTCTTTGTTAGTCAAACCGAACCCTATGCCTGTCTGAGTGATGCTTTTTGGGGTCCTCAGAGCGAGGATTATTCGTAGTAAGCGCCTGCGTGGTAGGGGGAACGGTCTGGGGGGCCTGTGCTGGCTACCCCATGGTTTCCATCATTGCAAGAATCTGGTCGACCTTCTACTACATCGCTTGGAACTGTGTGGGGTCAATTGTGGCTTGCTATTGGGGCTCCCGAGATATGGTGAGAACGAGATCCCCGAGATGGGGATTGGGCTCCAGAGTAGTCAGATGCGTTTCTTGGCATGGTTCTTGATTGTGCGGAAGGAGATTTGGGAATGACTTTTCGTACGTATCCCACAGATGACACCAATCTGATGCTGTCCAATCCGAGGTTGCAGTCAGATAATCCTGCCAACTGGCAAAGCCGAGGTGGAAGGATGAAGCCGCGCAACAAGAATTTACGAGTCGGGTAATGGATGTTAGCTTTCAGTTAGTAGCTGTTCCTTAGGTAGAGGGTATAATAAAGGAAGCGTTAAGGAGCCCTCAGGGTGACATATTGTGTGCATGCTTGCTTACCATGCAAGAAAGACACATTGGGTCACTCACTCATTGCGTTGTAGGCCAACCACCCTCCACTTTTAGGGCTATGGGTGGTTGGCTATGACTACATTCACTCACTCCTAGTTAAAACAAAATATAATGTGTTTGTTACTTTTGTTCCCCGGGTAGGCACGACCAAGTCAGTCGAATGGTAGGGGAGATGGTCGGGCCAAGCAGATGAGAATAATGCTGGTCCGAGTCGAAGTAGTATGGAAGTTTGAAGAGTCAAAAGTCCCTTACCGTAGAGAACATTAATGTGGTCCCCATTATGTTATTTATGTGGTCCTCATTGTGTTTGTTAGTTTATGATGGTAGTTAGTTTCAGTTAGTAGTTAATTCAGTTGGTAGTTATATTATTTCCTTTTTATTTCTTTTGCCATGTAAGCAGTAAGGGTAATTCAGCCTTTTCACCCTTTATTTGATTATTAATATAAATAGTAGAGTGGGGCAACAATTCTAGCCAACACTCTCTTTCTTAATTCTTCTCTTCGTCTTCTTCTCTCCTTCTCAATCTTTTTCTTTGTTTATTTCACATTGTACCTAGGACTGATTGCAGCCCTATTCGACTACTTGGTATCAGAGCCAACCTAGGAATTCTTATGCTAGTCTAATTAGGCCGACTACATGAGAACTTCCTAGGGTTGGAAGTTTCAGAAGAGATATGTTCATCGGCTGGTTCTTGGAGGTTGCTCGCAGTGTGCAATTGATGCCCAAGGGTTTGTAGGGCCTTGGAGAGTGTTCAGCGATCAGGAAGAATCAGAAGAAGGGAAGAAATCTCAGTTTTAGGGTTCAGACCTTGGTTTGAAGGTGGCAGCTAGACCTTTCTAAGTAAGTTGATATTTATTCTTGAGATCGAACCTAAAAAGAAATCTTTTTTATTAATCTGGGAGGTGCGGCTGAAAGATCTTTAGTTCTCTCCTGAGATTTTAGGGTTTCTTTTTTGACCTACGATCAGTTCTAGGATTGAAACCCTAAAGTTTATGATTGTTGCCAATTCTAGGGCAATAATTAGACAAGTTTCAGCATTCGAGAGAGTTTTCTGCTTGCTGGAAAACTAACAAACCTGATTCAATATTTTTGGGTGGTGGCCGAACCTTCTAGATCAGCTGTTAAGCAAATTCTAGGTGTAATTTCACCTGTTTCAGTTCTAAAAAAGGTTTTTTTTTTTTTTTACCTATAACTCGAGAAGGGTTGACAACAATGGATTTAAGAATCAAGGGGAAGGTTTTTTGGGGACTGGTGGTTCTGGTAGCATGCCTGAGAACAATTTTCAGATTACCACAGTCAAGTTTGACGGATCAAATTACTTGGAGCGGGCCCAATCATCCATGATGGCCATTGGGGGTAGAGGGAAACTGAATTATTTGTTGGGGGATGTGAAGGAACCAAAGAGGACCCAACCTATGCCAAATGGGTTCAGGAGAACTATTTGGTTATGACATGGCTGTGCAACTCCATGCAGCCACACATCAACCGAAACTACTTGTGGGCAAAAACAACTAAGGAAATTTGGGACATCATGAAAGAAACCTACTCCCAATCCCTTAATGTTGCTAGGGCTTATGAGTTGAAATGTGAAGTTAATAATCTTAAGCAAAGAGAGAAACCAGTTTCGGTTTACTTCTCAACCTTGAAATCCTTATGGCATGAAATTGATCACCTAGAAACAATTGAACGGGAAAGTTAGAAGGATGCACTGACTTGCAGAAAGCAAGTTGAAACTAAAGTTTGGGGGTGATAAGGAGAGGGATATGAAGGAAGATAAGAGGGACCTAGTATGTGAACATTGTAGGAAACCTAAACATACTAAAAACACCTGTTGGAAGTTACATCCACATCTGGTCCAACAAAACTCAAAAACAAAAAGGGAAATGCCAATGTGGCTGTTACTACTGATTGTGCAACCTCATCGGGCACAAGAGCCACATCCCTAGACACCTTAGCTGCTGTTTGGGCTGCTCTAACTCAGTTGGAGAGTGAAGTTGGTAATTCAGCACCATTATCTCAGTCATCAGTCACAACATCTGCTCCTCCCACTTCAGCTTTTGCTCACTCAGGCACATGGGCCTCAGCTTATCATGCTTCAGCCCTAGGTAACACTGAACCCTTTTGGGTGATAGA